CTCCTTTCCGGCCTAATCCAGGGTGGCTGACAGCCACACGTGTACACTAATCCAAATACATGGCTAGTGGAAGCTCCCTCCTGCCGTGCTCCTTTTTTCCTCTTTTTCATTTCTATCTCCTTATAAAGTTGATCTAGCTGATCTTTTCCAGCTGCCCAAGAATCTAACGGCCAAAGATAAAGCTGTTTTTTTTCGTTTCATTATTTGCTTTTGCTTCTTTTCTTTTCTTTTTTTTTTTTTTTTTTTTTTTTTTTTTTTTAACACATTCATTCATTCATATAGCAGGGAACCAGGCCCGACGTCCCTTACATCATTGCTACGGCCAAACGGGCTAAGCGAGGCACTCCCGGCCAGACCTATCCCCGCCGCAGCCCACAACAAAGTCACAACAACCTATCCCGGTCACAGCCCAAACAAAATTTTCCAACCATAATCTACCCTATTCGAAATAAATCCAATATAACTAACTTTGTAGCGGACCCACCAGGTGTGGTGCTCCGCTAGTGGTAGAGATGGAGATGGAGGAAGAAGGGGGGAGCAAGATGACGCACAGCGCAGCTCCCATGCAGGACTCCAACGCACGTACTCCAAAAATGTGCAAGTGAAGAATGAGGGTGAAAACAGACAATGGATGGGGTATACCCCAGCGGACGGACGGGACTGGACTGGACTGGCTGGTACCGACAGAGGTACCGGCCTGGACTGGCCTACCCCGAATACAACACAGGCCTGTCAGAACAGGCCAAGGGGTTGGTCTCACAGGCCAACCCGAGGTCCGTTACATGATCCTCGGCCTGTGATGGATCGCCTAGATACAAACATGCTTCTGCCAAGAAGCGGAACTCTACCAAAGAAAAGAAAACCTGAGTAGTCTAGGATGCGGAGCAAGCTCCATGMTGAGTCCATGCGATGCAACCTAGGATATAAAATGTCACAAAACAGCAATGTCACAGCTAACAGCCTAAGTGAAAGCAGAAGCAACTAACTAACATACAGGTCCTAGGAAAGCAAAAGCAACTAACTAGCATACATGTCCTAGGAAAGCAGAAAGTAGTGACAACTAGATCCTAGAATGTTGGAGGCACTAGCCTCAGTCTGGTAACAACTGACTAGTGTATAAGTCCTAAGAACAGCAAAAGCAAAACAACTAAATCCTAGAAATGTGAGAGGCAGTAGCCTCAGTCTGCGAGCAACAAAGCAACAACAAGTCTATCATATATCACATGAGAAGTGTGTCGCAAACCAAAGGGTGGGATGGTCTCTGAGGGTGGCGAATGCAGCCTAGGGGTCAAAAACTCCTAAGGGCATCCACACATAGATAACAGGGAGACACATGTCATCAGGCTCAATGAGGGTAGGGAACTGAGAGCGAACAGAACCAATGACCCTAACAGATAGACCATCAGGGCGGGTAATGCTCGACTAAAGGTGACCGCTATGGAGGGTCGACCATGCAAAGGAACAGGGGAGCCTGGTATACTGGGCGCACCTAGATGAAGCATGGGTGGCTGCCTAACTAGGGCGTGAGGGCCGGCGAAGGGTAGAAAGATGATGAGTGAGGGAATCATGCAAATGACTCCTAAAGTGAGGGAAGTTAGAGCTAGATCCGTAAGATGGGAAGCCAGGACAACGCTACAGTCCCGATGCCTATGCGTATACCAAGGGAGAGCCCAACTCTGAGGAACCCGGCTAAAGGGAGACCATCATGCGACACAAGCAGGGTACTGTACAGGGTAGACTGGTAAGAGAGTGGCGACGTCTGAAGTAGGCAGAGATGATCGTGATGAAGTCCATGAAGCTGCCGATGACGTCCACGATGAGAAGTCTGGAATGCCGTCAAGGAAGAGCCGCAGCGTCGACGAGCTGAAGTAGCAAAACTGATGTGGATGGAGTACTGAGAAGTCGAAGACGTGGGAAGGTAAGTCAGAGTCAATCGTCGTATCGAGCAGGACGACGACGAGTGCGTTGTGGACGCTCAGAAGCATCCGGCTGCTACTGAAAATCTGCCTCAGATGGAGCAGACTCAACTTCAGCGGTCTCCTCAGCCGGACGAGAAGGAGGAGGGTCAGTGGGCTGAGGAGGAGCAGTGAACCCAGCACGACGAGCACGGTCATAGGCACGCACCAACATGCGAGCGTGCTGCAAGTGCTCGAGGGGCTCCCAGGTAGCCTCCTCATCAGGGTAACCCTTCCAACGTACGAGATACTCGACGTGGGGAGGGTTGTCGTCGGTGACTCGGCGACCAATGATGTCTRAAACGAGGAACTCCTYGTGRCCGTCCACCRTGAWGGGTGGAGGGCGCTCGTATGGTCGTCCAGCGAAACGCTCAGACGGTCTGCGGTAAGGACGCAGKAACGAGACGTGGTAGACATCATGCACACGAGCCTGGCGTAGGTAGTCGGGCARCTTCACACRAAAGYTGACCTGGCTAGATGCCGTATCAGAACCGACGGCCTGGAGGATGCGGCATGGGCCAAAGAAGCGACGCCGAAACTTGCGAAGCGTGTCCGCTTCGAGTTGTAAGTGGCGGGCGTCGATAAGCACATCATCACCGACTTTGAATGGATGATCCATTCTCGATCGGTTCGCACGTGCTGCCACGCGAGTCTTGGAAGCGGCTATGTGCTCATGTGCGGTCTTCATAATCGACGTCATGTGTGAAACCCAATCATCCAGTGCGGGACAACTCGTGTCAGGGTGCATCTGGGACGGTCGAAGGAAGCCCGCGGGAACACGAGGGTGATAGCCGAGGTCGCAATAGTAAGGCGACATCCCCGTGGCTAGCGAGACGACGTGGTTGTAGGCTATCTCCGCGTGGGCAAGATGAAGATCCCACTGCTGGTCGTCACGAACAATCTTTCGAAGAATATCTCCGAGAGTCCTGTTCGTGATCTCGGTCTGACCATCAGTCTGAGGATGGTAAGACGAGGAGAAGCGGAGCTGAGTGCCGTACACCTCGTGGAGCCGTCGCCAGAATCGGCTGGTAAAGCGCGGGCCACGGTCAGATATGATGCTCAGAGGTAAGYCGTGGTCACGCACGACTCGGTCAAACACGATGTCGGCGACCTCGCGTGCACTGATGGCATAGCGGCACGAAACAAAGCGTGCACGCTTCATGAAGCGGTCGACGACGACCAGGATAGCATCATGACCTCGAGGGGTCGGAGGACGAAGAGGACCAATAAAGTCCATCGAGATGGACTGCCAACGACCCTCAGGGATAGGAAGAGGCTGGAGCAAACCATAAGG